TCTTATCCAGGTAAGGTCCACTGAGCTACATAGGCACTTTTTTCAGAATCGACCTCGCCACAAATTATAGCTCAACGAAGCAGCTTATCGTCGTGCGGAAATTTCTAGGAGCCAATTACTCAAAACACACGTTGGTTATAAATGTGGAGGGGAAAACCCACAGAACCCGGAGAAAAATGCACGCGACCACGGAGAGAGAGAGAGAGACACCGCAAACTCCAAATATACAGCAGGCGTCAGGGTCTGGATTGATCCCACGTCCTCCTGCATACCAGGCGAGGTGGTTAAGATCTCCTAGCGACCGTGATGATGATGAGGAGAGAGAGAGAGAAGCCCACTCCAAAGATACAGCAGGCGTCAGGGTTGGGATCGAACCCACGTGCTCCTGCATACCGGGCGATGCAGTTGGGTGAGATCGCGTAAATTTAAATGTGTCGTTAAAACCCGCCGTCACCCGACACAGCCAACTAGTAAGGGTTGTCAAGTAAACAGAACGCGGCCAATTCGTCACTAGTACATCACACCGGTGTGTTGGAAAGCCAAGCCACAACATTTACAATCTGAGTACGACGTTTCGCCAGTAATTACAACTAGCTTCATCAGGCGATTGTGCTGAAGCAAAAGCGAATTGGCACGTGTTGTTCACGATACAAACCTAAATAATTTGCCGTGTCGGGTGGTGGCGGGGTTTAACGACGCATTTATATGTACGCGATCAAACCCAAAACGCTTTATTATGAATAATAGTGGTCGCTAAAGCCTACGTTTTAAATTGTATTCAAATTATCATCATAATATTACACTGTGTAACAAAAAAATGTGTCCCTGTTGTAGCGTGTTATTTTCTATACTCTTTGGTTCTATTCGGTAAAGTCACGTAGGGGAAAAATAAATAAATAAATAGAGCGGCATCACGACGTTTCGGCCACAACACAAGCGGCCTTCATCAGGTGAAGGGACCAGCCTGTCTCGAAGACTGCGCTGGAGTGAAACAGAGCCAAGCTCAGACTATGACCTTTAAGCTGTGTCAGAGGGATTAAGGTGCCTCGACAAAGGAATTAGCGTATACATTTTTTTTTACCTACGTGACTTTACCGAATAGAACCAGAGAGTATGGATCCTTGCAGTCACGAAAGCTTCAAATCTAGAATTGTTATTTTCTAATTGCGTATGCCTCAAAAGTACAGAAAATGGCTATTATTCCCCACAAACTTTGCTTTTGTGACCAGGACAGTGATATTTTGAAATGTACCTATTTTCAATGAGAATTCCAGATAGATTCAGTGCTGAGTAAACTTGGAGTAACTTATAGAACATTCTAAAACTTTCCAGTAATATAAATAGTAGTATAAATACAGGGGCCTTAAGCCCACCAGTTCAGTTTAGTTCCAGCTGCCTAAGTGGACACATATCTGCATTTTTCTGAGATGGCAACAAGAGACTGCAAAGCATCCGGCAGACGCATTTTGCTTTGTCTGTGGCCAATTTATCAAGACAAGAGTGAAAAAGTACTCTGTGGAAGTATCTGCTAAGATGTGTGAGGCCTACAAGGCATATTTCGGCATGCCTGTCGGGAATCAAGGCAAACCCTGGGCACCTCATTTCACCTGCGAGCAATGCAAAAAATCTCTGGAAGGCAAGATGGACAATTGTGTCTCGGGATTTAATGTTATAAAATTTGTTACAAATGTTTTAATTGTAAAAGTTTTAAATTTTAAAATGTTTTCTAATTTTCAATGTTATTGATAAAATATATCATATATGAAAAATGTTGTGAGAATCTCTTACACATTAGTCATGGGTGAAATAAATGTATTTTTGTAGGATGGTACAGTGGGGAAAAGAGAGCCATGAAGTTCGCTATCCCAATAATTTGTCGGGAACCCACTGACCACTCAAGCAACTGCTACTTCTGCATGGTGGACCCTTCCAAACGTCGGACTGGCAAGAATGCACCTGCTATCACCTTCCTTCATCCATCGCCCCGGTGCCACACTGCCATGAGCTCCCCGTACCCACTCCTCCGGAGAGAGAGCAGCCGTCTTTAGAAGAGAGAAGCAAGTCAGAGAGCGAGGAAGACGCTGTAGATCCAGATGACAATTTCAGAGGTGGAGCTGAGAAGAGGAACTCATACTACTCCAACCAAAAAGACCTCAACGACTTGATCAGAGATCTTGGTCTCACAAGTCCAATGCCGAGCTTTTGACATCTAGGCTCCAGCAGTGAAACTTGTTGGATGAAAGTGTGCAAGTCGCAGATCAGAGGAAGCGTCACCAACCTTTTTGCAGCTTCTTCACCCTTCAAAATGGGCTCTACTTCTGCCACAATGTGACCAGTCTGGTCGAAGCAATCGGAATCGCCTGTAACCAGAATGAGTGGCGCCTCTTCATTGACAGCTCATCCAGGAGCCTCAAAGCCGTGCTGCTCCATGATGGTAACAAGTACCCGTCTCTTTCCCTGGCTCACTCGGTGCACCTCAAAGAGGATTACAACAGCATCAAGACCTTGCTGGATGCCTTGAAGTATGACGAGTACGGCTGGGAGGTCATCGGAGACTTCAAAATGGTGGCATTCCTGATGGGTTTCCAAGGCGGTTTTACCAAGTTTCCCTGCTATCTTTGCCTTTGGGACAGCAGGGACACCAATGTGCACTACCACAAGCGGGACTGGCCACACCGGACTGAGTTCTCTTTGGGGAGGAACAACGTCAAGTGGGAGCCACTGGTGGACCCCCGGAAGGTGCTGATGCCACCACTGCACATCAAATTGGGCCTCATGAAACAATTTGTCAGAGCTGTAGATAAGGAGTCGGCAGCCTTCAAGTACCTTCAAGACTTCTTCCCAAAGCTGTTTGAGGCAAAGGTCAAAGCCGGTGTCTTCGTCGGACCACAGATAAAGAAGATCCTGGAGTGCAATAAATTCCCCAAGAAGCTCCACTAGTAAGGAGAAAGCGGCTTGGAACAGCTTTGTCGCAGCGGTTCGTGGCTTCCTGGGCAATCACAAGGTCGAAAACTATGTGGCGCTCTTTGAGACTCTGGTGAAGAACTACGGCACAATGGGCTGTAGGATGTCCCTCAAAGTCCATATCCTTGGTGCTCATCTTGATAAATTCAAGGAGAAAATGGGAGCGTACTCGGAGGAGCAAGGCAAGCGCTTCCACCAGGATATACTGGACTTTGAATGCTGCTAACAAGGACACTATAACGAGAACATGATGGGAGACTACATTTGGGGGCTGATTCGTGAAAGTGATTTACAGTATAATCGTAAATGTCGAAAAACTACTCACTTCTAAATCTGTTGTAGTCATTTTTGTATTACTTTAGTATAAATACATGTACATTTAGATTCATATGTTGTTTTTTACTTTAAGTGAACAAAAAGACACAAAGTCGCACGTTTTCTCATTGAAAATTGGTAAATTTCGATATATCACTGTCTTGGTCACAAAAGCAAAGTTTGTGGGGAATAATAGACATTTTCTATACTTTTTATAGCATGAGCAATTGCAAAATAACACTTACTACGCAGGGACAAAAATTGTGTTACATAGTGTAATCATCGTGTATAGTGAATTTACTCAGGAGGATGCCGCTGCATTGGGATGCGAATACCAATTCCAATGCTCAGTGACGTGTGGCAGGACCCCGGAGTGTCCGGAGAAAGCCCACCACGCGCACAAAGAAGGCACGACACTCGAAGCATCGCACAGATAGATTCATCAATTGTCGTATTGCACCGCCATCTCCTGGACACCTCGCAAGCCTCACACACTCGGTATTCACAGGCAGTCGCCCATCCAGCTGCTAACCGGGCGCACGCCGGGCTCAGCTTGCGAGATCCGACGTGCACAAGTAGAGCGATTCGATCGAATGATTGTTCATTGTTTTGGATTAGACACGTGATTGCAGAGCACAAATAGATACTCTGAATTTAATTGAGCCATAGTCACGCATCTTCCTAATCCGAAGAGCACCCTGACCACCTGAACAGGTGTGATCCAAAGGTCCATTCTCTATTGTAATTTGAATATAGTTAACCCAGCTCAAATATATATATATACACACACGAAGGATGACACATTTATGGATACCCCACTGATCTCCAATGACCCTCGTTGTGGCCTTTGCAACATGTGATTTAATGCTGTGTTGTAAAAGCGATGGACTCCGTATCTTACGGAGGAACAGCGAAGGGTCGTGTTGTACGATGCGTCATACAGAGCGTTACAAGATTTCGCAAGAGTGTTGATATTGGTGGAAAGCGCGTGGAGACATTGAAACAACATGCAGTTTTGTCCAAATGCATTTTTAGTTGCGTAGCTATAAATGGATCACTGCATACACGCCGTGCTTATCGTAGTCGTGGCTGAAACCACTTCTTCTTCTTCTTCCGTGTGTGGCTGATGTAGACGCAGAGCGACAACTGCAATTTCACATTCAGGTGGTCAAATCAGATAACCGCATCAGGAGCAGTGTATCGCGCTGCGATGTCTCCTTCGCATTTGTGGATCGGGGGCATTGCATCGTTGTTATGTTGTGCTACGGTCTATTCTGGATGACCACAGTCACACACTCCTGGAAAGTTTTTTGTTTAAATGTTCCACGCGTGCATCGGGAAGGTTTCCCCGCATCTGCAAATTGTGTTTGTGCGGTGAATGCTGGCTTGGGGTTGGACCACGGCCTTCACGAATGCCGCGAAGAAGTACGTAGAGCAATCTCCTTGTTTGTGACTTTTATTTGAACGTGTGTCGCAGCGTTGATTCAATTGCTTTTAGTCGTTTCAGTCTTCAAACGCGTGGCATTTTAGCCGAATGCTACTTTGGTCCGTGGGTTTCACTTAGTCGTGAAATCAAATTAACAATGCCATTTCTTTTTTGTTTTATTTCACAGTTGCGTGATGTGAACTGTCTCTGTGCCGGTGTTTAAGAATTTATTCTGCAAATTTTTTTATGACCGCACGAAAGCCAGGGACCGACAGCTCGATTAAAATCCCCGACGGGTTGTCTCGGCTGGACCGAGAGTATACGAATACAATATTTAAACCGCTGATTCAATTAGCACTCGGTTTTATTGGGCCATTTTACGACGCGAAATTGACAATCAAACGGACGTTAAGGTGGTAGAATATGGAAGTTTATACAGTATTTGATTGAGCATAGCTGGTGATGATGATGATGGGAAACAGCACTTAATGGCTCTCAATGCGCCCGATCTCGGAAGCTAAGCGAATTTGAGCCTGGATGAGTGCTTTGGATGGGTGACCACTACGGTTTTTAAAACACGCTGCTGCGACGCTACGTAGAAATGGAACGGCGCGACAACATCCATTGTTGTACTGCACTTGCATGTTCCCACGCAGTGGTTCTTATCCTTTACTGCATATATAATGTATAATAAATGCATAGCTTTGAAACAAAGTAGTTGTACTTACGTGCCCATGCTTGCTTTGGGTTTCGTTGATTTGCCTTCTAAAAAAAAAATCTTGCCGTGTCTCGCACCCCCAGAAAGGGCAACTCGCACCCCGGGTTAAGAAGAACCACTGCTCCCACGTCTGCGCTCTGGTCTGGCTTTGACAAACACGCACGGACCAGCAATGCGGTAATATTGTTACGTAAGTGCCACTATCAGCAACAGTGTGGGGTAGGCCGGCATCCAGCAGTGGATAAACAAAAGAGGCTGCACATGTACAGCCATGTCTGATACGCACACACAAATTAACAACAGCACAGTTTGCGAAGTGCGCTGAGAATAATGTAGCTGCATGATTGGTCCGTGAAACTTAGGTTTTCCGAATGGATATTTTTTTTTTACTCGTCTCAAGTTTAATCGTTGCGTGTTCTCTGGTCAACGTTTAGAATCAGAATATGCATTTAGACTGGAGGAATCCGACGAGCTATGAAGTTCCTTTTCACAGATGTATAATTTATCCAGCAGTGGAACTGACTTGGAAGAATACGTTGAGAATGTCACCTTCAGAATGTTACACATGCAGTGCAGTGCTCGGTTGGGAATTATTTGTGATTTTATATATATAAATAACATTTAACCTATAGGGTATGTGGGATGAAATGTAAATATGTTGAACTTCTTTCGCACCGTACGTAGCCAACTGTGCTAATCGGGAGGTGCGGGGGGAGGGACCACAAACTCAGGGGCCGTCCATAAAGACGTCACGCGCCTAGGGGGGGGGGGGGTCAGACATTTGTGACGATGTGTGACGACGGGGGGGGGGGTGAAAATGTGACGTCACGTAAAAATGCACAACTTTAAATGAATATAAACAACACGTTCTACTTAATTAAACAGACTTTTTTAATAAATGTTTTCTCCTACAACATCAGAGTGCGGCGCCACATTAAATACGCACTACAATGACAATAGTTTAAAGCGATTTGAAGCATGTTTGGGGGGCGGGGGGCAGAGCTTTGTGACGTCATATTTGAGGGGGGGTCTGACTTTTTGTGACGCCGTGTGACGATGGGGGGGGGGGGGGTCAAAAATCGTCCAAAATCGCGTGACGTCATTTATGGACGGTCCCTAAACGCGAGGCTGAGTTTTCAATGGAGAGAAAACGCAGCCGTGGTGTCGTTGTTAGTTCGATCTCCCGGTGCGTCAATTGAAGAAAAAAACACAACAGGGGCCAAGTATCTTTAACGTGCTTAACCGCTCCCGCATCTGTCCCAGCCAGCAGTATAAAATGTGAACACCCCAGTCGAGTGTCGGGTTGTTCCGCGTGTTCCGCGACGTTTGGCCTGCGTGCCGAGAGTAGTCCGAAGAACCCTCCCGAAAGAGGGACCTTCAGAACCCCATCGTCGGGGCTCTTCAGCGAAAGTGCTGACGTGAGCAAGCCATTGCAGGGCTGTGCCTTTAACATTTGCTCGGCACGGGGAGGAAATGAAATCTGGAATTTGCTGTTGGGCTGATCCGTTGAAGAAAATTAACGCTGCCCTTCGTATATTCACAGACATCTGCATCATCAAAGAGGGTCACCACCACCGTCATCGCGAGGAGGTAAGCCCAGTATGCAGTCTAACAGGCAGGCGGGCAATTCATTGTAACACGTACGCTTTCGCAAACCATTATTATCTATAATAAAGTGGTTTTCCCGGTGTGATCGCTTAACCTGCCACCACCCGACAGAGTCAAGGAGTAAGGTTTGTCACGTAAACCAAAACGTGCCAATTAGTTACTGCTGCAGTACACCACGTGTTGTGTTGGTTGAGTAAACCCCACAACATTTAATAAATAAACTGAAACATTTACATTTCGACTACTCGAATTCATGGCTGCAGGAAACTTTTTCTTGAGCATCGCCATTCCTTTTACAGCCTGCAATGGAAGTGTTGGGGTGCCCCGTGAAATTGGGATGAGAGACGGGTGGTGGTGGTTGTTGTTTAGCTGCGCTGTGCTAACCCTGTGCATCTGCCCACGGCTCACGAAAGGTTTCGTTGTGTTTGCCGGGCAGAGTGGTCCATAAATGATAATGCAGTCGGTGAATTTTATTTCCAATATTTTTTTCCCGTCATTCTCTGTAACTTTTTATCCCGATTGTGCCACTGCAGAACAGCGTAAAACTCCCGTGTTGGAGAATGGGCCACGGAAAGTGGCTCTCACAGAGCTACCTCCTTAGATCCCTTTATCAAGTGACCTCTGGTCCTCCAAAGTAGTGGGCAGCGCTTTCCCTCCCACGCAGGCGTTTGAGAGTCGTTTTCATCGCATGACCGGTCAAAACCGGCGTTTCAATTCTCGGGAGCTGGAATTGATCCGAATATTTTAAGCATAGAACCAAATCTAATGCGACGATGGACTCGTTGCGGTCCTTCGTGACCCGGCGCTGAGGACCATCAACTCACTACGCTTGCAAACCTGAATTCAACTCCCCCCCCCCCCCCCCCGGCTCTCGGCAGGAACAGTTCGGCGCCCGAACGGGGGTGGACGGAGGAGTTAATCGCTGCTCTGCGGGACTTCTACTGGCGATGAGTTCACTTGGCACGCGGTTGGTGTTTTGTTCTGAAGATTTATTGTTACGTGCACTTCCCCCCCCCCCACCCACCCATTTCCCCCCCTTTTAAAGAACCCCTACGTTCCACCCCCCCCCCCCCCCCTGCTGGCAGTCCCTGCGTGAGATGGGGCAGTGAGCCCCGACCTTGTGCCCTTCACAGAACCCGGGAGCACCTCGTTCTGTCTTCAGTCCGCTGAATTTCTGTAACCCCCCCCCCCTGCTCTCCCTTCCCGTATGACGGTTCGTGATTATTTTTTACCGGGCTCTTGTCAAATAAAAATAAAAACAGCTCTGACCTATGAGCCGCTTGGCCACGTTCACAGGAGGTGAATTTGCTTAAGCATAGAGAAAGCGGCACCTCGATAAAAGCCCTCGCCAGCGCATAAATTGCTCCATAATGCATGCTTGTGTGGATAAATACGAAAGAAAAAAAATCCTGCACGTGCATAAATACATATTTACTATGTTTTAATTTATTTAACCGGGGCATCCTTAATAAGGCGAGTATTCAGTTGCCATGAACAACCAGGGAAAATTGACAGCTCACTGAGTGTGCTATGCACACACACACACACGTAATTAATGTGTTTTTGCTGCTGCTGATTATAATGGTGCGGCTGAATTGCAGCAAGCCGGAATGATTTCCTTCCCGTGGAACACCAAAAATATATAAAGGACGGAAAATAGTGTGGTGAGCGATGCACTGAAATTTTGTTGTGGAAATTATGTTGCATTAATAATAATATGAATACTAATTAATTACCCAGGAAAGACTCATTGAGTCTCAACATTATTTCGAGGAGGGTCCCTGGCCCGTTAGCATGTTTGCCCAAATACCATGAATGTATTTCATATATATGTACACAGTTGCTGAGCACAGGCTCAAATACATTACAATGTCCGACAGCCAGCAATAAACGGCACTATCGCTGTTGTAACAGGTAAGCGTTGATGAATTTTTTGGTCAGCGCTCTTGGTTTGATGTGAGAGGAGGGGAAACCGGACGAGTATCCGGAGAAAACATACCGGCATGGAGGGGTGGTGACTCCACACTCGCCGAGACTTGGTAACATCTCGAAGTCGAATGACTTCGCTACAGCACCTGGAAAGCGCTTTGACAGTCATCATCCCCCGGCACCTCCAATTAACACGGTCGGCTTCGTACGGTGCGAAATAAGTTTGACACGCGGGTACATACATCTTCCTTTGGCGCAGCTTTCTAATGAGTCACTCACGAGTCCATGTTAGGGGCTGATAGGCAAAGCGCAGGCCTGCAATTGCCTGCTCACGGGGCCGCTGGCAGAAGGGCCTCCGCTATAGGAAGTTTTGGAGAGTGACCCTTTAGCGCAGGGGGTTTAACCCCCGGGCCTGCGGACCGGTACTGGTCCGTGCCCTGTTAGGAACCGGAGGTAAGCGGTGAGTCCGCGCGTGGCCCACCCATTATTTTCTTATTTATCACTTCCGTCCGCGCACTTGTCTCAGTCACAGTGTTGGTAAGCCCACAAGCTAACAACCCTCGTAGCAAAAATGAGTAAACAACAAACGTCGCTGGAGAACTTCTTTGAAAAGGGGAAAAGACCCAATGATGACCACCCTCCCCGCCCCGGTCCGTAAAAACAAAAATTGTCTTCCACGAAACCGGTCGCTGGTGCCAAAAAGTTTGGGGACCGCTGCTTTAGAGAATCCTTTGGTCTAACATTCCACGCTGACCAGATGTGCTTGCCACAAGTGAACTACACAATACCTTGCTGATCGCGTCGTAAACCGTCACACGAGGCCCCGGTCAGCATCGCAGAAGCTTTGAGCTCAGCCATCGAACGAAGACGGTCACTGCATCGCGCGCTGTCGGACGCGCTACTGCGCCAGTCTGGGAAACGCTCTCCCGATATTAGGAAGCCCCTGGAGCTACGCATTATTTTTAAAATTCAGATTGAAAGCTAATTTATTTTTCACAACTGCTTTTTGTTGCGTCACCTCCGATGAGCACGATCGGCTACGTACGGTGCAAAAGAAGTTCAACATGCATACATATATGCGGTGGAAGAGAGGGATGGGAGTAACCCGCTCTTCGCGCCACCACACGCGGCCTGCCCGATCGACGATCTGTTTGCACCCCCTTGAGTAGACCGCCGGGTGGACGGGAAACGTATGGGCGTGGGAGTGGGGCCCTTAATAAACGTATCCCATTGTTTCAACGGCCGAGCCAGGGAGATGGATGCAATCGAACCTACGACATGTGGATTTAGAGTCCATCGTGCAGCGTGCGAACCACAGCGGCATAGTATAAACAATGCCGCTCATTACGATGGATGTTGAGCAGGAAAGCCTTCTTAATTTTGACGCTCATTTGTCAACAGGGCCTTGCTCTATTGGAATGCTTGGTCGGTTCTATTAATGAGAGATTGTCGCAAAATCCCCATTTTACAATAAGGGCATCTGTGGGGGGGGGGGGGGGGAAGAGTTCCTATAGCTCATCGGATTCCTCCCAGTAAATAGAAATAGTCTGAATCTGGTTTTGATAAATGCAGGCAAGCGATTATGCGATTTAAAAGCAACGCATTTTTTTTATTCTTCTTGTTTTGTTTAAACATCCCAGTTGTGATCCAGTCCATCCCCACGGACGTGCCACAGTGACTTCGCGGCTGTACGGCGTGCGAGCATTCTCTTCCGTGTGGAATGTTTAATGCTCAAGGTCAGCCGTGATGACTAGGGCAAAGCCATACGCTGTCTCGTAACGGAACTCAAACTGTGACTGATTACACGGACAGCTATCAAGCTCTTAGCGGTTTGGTTAATAACCGTAAATGATACGGAGATGCCCTTTAATTTGCCGCGCGGCATACGCATCTCGGCGCGAACAGCGATTCGGAATAAGGCAAATGGATGTTGGTCATTTTCAAGATCATCCTCCTTTGGTGGAGGAAGTCGCCCACTGCAGAGGTATAATTTCCCGTGCGAGTTGTTCGTAATTATTTTGATGCAATAATCATTTTGCGCAGATGGGCAAGAGGATTGTTGCACACCTTGCTGAGCACGTGCCGATTATAATTTTTTTGCTTAACAAATGTGGGCGCGTCTCGTCTGGCAATGCGGGATCTTTTTTTTTACTTGCTTTCATGATTACAGTAATTATCGTGTGCGCCTGCATTGCCGGAGCGGTGGGTTAGTGGGTGTGGATGGCACGGACTGAATGCGTCAGGCCCCCGCTTCAATTGGAAAACAAGATAAGTCTTCATAGGAGGCTCTGCACGTATCTACCTCCCTTTCTTAAAGTTCTCGTTCATCCCACACTTGTAGAAACAAACCACTTAATTTTTTTTGTTTTAGGCACACCTAATTATTTCCACACCCCCCGCCCCCTCCCCCATGATTTATGAAAGAGCTGAACCAGTACCGGCATTTTGAGACCATATACAGTGCATGTAAACGTGTGTGTGTGTGTAGTTTGGTAGGTCACCAGTTCATTTCCCAGTGCTCGCTCACCCATGCACTTAAAATAATTGGGTATCGACTGTCATTCTGCTCACCACTCTATGGTGAACGATGTGAGCCAGGGTAAGCCCCAGCCCCCCCCCCCCCCCGTCACCTGCTCGAGCCAAGAGATTCATCTTCTCGTCCAACAAGCCACTGCGGCAGGCGTGAGCGTCATCCCACAGACTTTCGGGTTAAGGCAACGGTCCAGATGGTGTCGCTGTTGTGGGATTGTGGAACGGTTGAGAGCCATCCCCATTTTTTTTTACAAGCTGCCCCGGGTGGAAGTGCTAACAGCTTAGACCGGCTGTGCTGTGACATGGGAGGTGAGGGCTCGTCACTGTGGGTGGCTCTGCTCGCGTAACGGTTTGACGTGGAATGCGATGCAGGCATTTCTCCATGAACGCTGGCTGTGTTTATTGAATCATTTACTGAATGGGGTGCGCATCTACCCGTAAACAGAAGGCACGCCCTTTCCCCCCCCCCCAGAAATGTCCATAGTCTGTTGTTGTTTTTTGCACGATAAATTGGTAACCTGTTTTGAACAGAATTGTTTAGTTTTTTTTCTACGCAGCAATTTGCAGTCGTTATCTTTTTTTGTGCTGTCATTTTAAGCCCACTGGGCTTGCAATGCAGAGGTGGGCAGTGTCGATTGCGTGCACGGTATGTTGAACTTCTTTCGCACCGCACGTAGCCAACCCTGCTAATCGATTCGTTCTTCAAGCACGGCGGTTGTAACAATGTTGGACGTTTCCTAACATCGCCCCTCTCGCCTGTCTCCTCCACCCAGCAGTATAAATGTGTTCACCACAGCATTGGTGAACACGTGCAGGTAATTGCAGGGCTGCACCTTTAGACTTTGCACTTTTAATTAACAGCGCCATTAGAGGTAAAAATAGATATTTGCAGCCTAATAGTGTGTGTGTGTATACTGTTGTAGCGATGGAAATATGCTGGCAAATACATATTATATGCATGAAAACAACCTGGTTTCTGTATCAAAGCTCGGCGCAGGCATGCTTTTATGATGAGAGCAGGGCTCTATAACAACTTATTTCCGGTACAACCTAAGGGTGGCAAATGCTAGCAATTATTTTTCAAGAGCATTTTATTTTCCAATTGCGAATATGCATGGTACCAATTGCTCTTTGTAGCCTCGTGATAAAATCGGGTGGTTTCATAGATATCGTCACGGTAAAACGACACATCTGCAGAATATGAAGACGAATATAAAATTGCGTGTGAACTTAAACGGACGGGTATTTCTGCCCATGGCAGACACTACCCCATGGTGTATACCGGGTAGCAGTTGCCACCGCAGGTGGTACCGACAGACCTTACCCCCCTCCTCCTCCTCCTTGGCTTCTGAGACCGAGTTAATGAGGGTAGGTGCCAACGCTTGCGGGTGCGTGTGGGTGTGGGCCGGATAAGACAACCTCGGGCAAAAGCTCGGCACGGTGAGAGTAGATGGAGGAACGCTCCTGCTCAATGGACACATCCCCACGCAAAATAGCTCGACGTCATGCTAAAGAACAGATTATGTTTGGTGGACATTGCGAAGCCA